GAGCAGGCCACTACCCATCAACAGTTCTCAAGGAGGCAGAAAGGACAGGCGACAGAGCCCCAGAATTAGTTACACACAGAGTTGGTTATTCTGCCGCCAGAAGATATTCCCTCCATGATATTTTCCAGAGTTAGTTATCCTGCAAATCAGAGGATATTCCCTCTATGATTACACCTGTAGCCCAGCTATATAAGGCCATACCCTTATAATGAAAGGTGTGAATGAATATCCCCTGTTTTTCTCTCACTGAGTCCCTTTTTTTCTACCTTCCCTTCTCTTCTTCCTCTCCATTTCTGTTTCAGGAGGTTAAGCCACTCTCGAAGGGGCTTCCGAGGTGAGCGGTATCTCACCAGTTATCTGGTCCTTTACTGGGTCCCAGATCTGCCACAAACATGATGTGTATAAATGGGCTATGTAATCCAGTCATGAGTAAACACAAATTGCTGGTACATCTGGTAACTGTACAGATAGTTGATGTACTCATGATTGGTTTATGTAGGCCCTTTGTACACACTTCGCTTGTAGCAGATCCAAAGTCCCTTTACTGACTTGGGCTGTTTATTGAGTCTTACATGTGAAGCATGACAAGGGCTTGAAATTTTACTGTGTCATCATGTCTTACCTTAAATCTTCTTTGTTCTGCTTAAATAATTCTCTAGGATGATGATATATTTGTTTCCCTTGCTAGCCTATTTATCTCTATTTCAACTCCTTATTGAGGGTGAAAAGAAGCTGTGCAATGAAAAATTGTCTATATTTACCTTTTCAATTCAACACTTTGGCCTAAACTGTATTTTACATATTGTGGAAAATTTTGGTATTGGAGTAACCATTTACTTTCCTAATCATATACTGTTTACTGAAAGAGATAATGACACACTAACAAACTATTTAAATGTATTTGGCATATGATCTAATGGCTTGGTGATGTAAGGGAAATTCATTTGATAAAGCAGACATCCTGTATGGAAAAAGAAAAGCTTTAGGGTTTTGTTTACAGTGGACACTGTTACTGGAAGCTTAGTTCTAGATTATCAAGCTACTTGAGTCCAGTCATGAATCAGAATGCCTCTTGTTTTAATAATTAAATTTCAAAACTTTACTTACGGTGTTGATAACAAGTTTGGGTTAGAGATAAATGCTTGGCATGGTTGTGATGCAATTTTTTTTTTTTTTAATTGTACAGGCGGCAAAGGAGTTTGAATCAGAATTAAAAAAAGACCCAGAATCTGCAATAGAAGCTACCTCAGAGAAACCTACAACAGTCAGTGAAGAGAGGAAAGAAGATACCAAGGTCTCAAGCACAAATGAGAATTTTTGATATCGACCGAGTCTGCCCTCCTTCAGTCATTTTCCACATATTTGTGTGTTAGTTTTGTACCAAGCAATCTTTTTTTGTTCTAATGAAATAGCAATATTTAGCTTATTGGAGTTGATTGCTTTCAACCTATGTTTCAGCTATTAGTTTACAAGCTTCGTGTTCAAATACTATTATTTTATTGAATCTTCCATTGGGATTCAAGGCTCATTCTGAGAGTACTGGAAATTCCATAAAAGCATCGAACAGGTTGGAGTTTTGCTGCTCAGGGTACTGAGTTGATTTGAATTTCCAATACTCATGGCAGAGGTTGCTAGCCGATTTAGCTGTTGTGATCAGCGAGCCATTAATCAGGAGGTGCATGTGACCTATGGTTTAGCAGATCTACCAGCTCAGGGAGGCGGTTTAATTTGCTAACCTCCAAACTCTATTACACCTACTTATCCTCTGAATGGAAAGGGGTTAGAAAAGTGTATGGCTTTATATAGCCCAGATTGAAAATTTGAAATGCAGCACAAGGGGCATGCCTCGGCAGGATTCAAGGTGCAGTTGCATGCACCCTAAAAAAATATGGTTTTAATTACTTTGTACATCGTGACAACACAATAGGCAAATTTTCATTGCTTGTTATTTTCAAAGAAGAATTCTGGTAAGGCTCAGTTTGGAAAGAGTACAAATGCAAATATGTACGGTATAAACAAGGTTCAAAGTATCGATACAGGGCGATACGCCGGTAGGCCGATATATTGGTACTCTGTTTTTTGAATCTTGTTCAGAGGGGCTGGTTTAAGGCCGGTCTACCCCCCGAACTACTTGCCGATCCAAAACACCCCCTATAGGGGTGTATCGGGAAGGTTTCGATGCGACATATCAGCTGATATAGGTCGATACGTATCGATACTTTAAACCTTGAATATAAATATATAAAATAATATAAAATATAAGGATTTGTACTCTACATATTCAGTTATCTCCGGGTGGAAAATCACTAAGGCACGTTTGGTTTGTAGGAATAGAGGTTTGGAATCAGTTTTGATTGGGTGGAATGGGAATCCCATTTCCATTCCGTGGAATGACATTCCACAAGGATTTGAGGGGAGGGAATGAAACTTCATTCCAGCTGATTTTAATTCTCATACTGAATCAAAGACTGAGAATAGATCATTCTGATTCTCATTCCAATGGATTTTAATTCAATTCTGCTTGTGAACCAACGGACCCTGGCTATATCCTAGCATCCGGTGGTAAATCACCAAGGCCCATTTGGTTTGTAGGAATAGAGGTTTGGAATCAGTTTTGGTTGGATAGAATGAAAATCCCATTTTCATTTCTAGTGGAGTGGCATTTCCCCATTTGAGGGTTTAAGGGGAGAGAATGAAATTTCATTTCAGCTGATTTCAATTCTCATTCTGAACCAAAGACTGAGAATAGATCATTCCGATTCCCATTCCAACGATTTCAATTCAATTCCGCTTGTGAACCAACGGAGTGACGGACCCAAAATAAATCACAAAGAAGGTGGCTGTCGGAAAAGAATCTTTCCTTGGATGATCAAAATCGGACCTTGGAATTGGCATTCCCTCCCTCTCTTCTTGAGTCCCACCACCAGCAATAGACATTTTGACAAAACAGCAAACTAACTTTAACTGTCAGTTCTTGGAATTGACATTCTCTTCTCCGTTGAATGCTCTCCGTGTCCAAATCCAGGTTTCTTCCATGGCCAACCTCCCTATCCCTAAAGCAGTGCACCCAAATCCATGCACAGATGATTATATCCGGTGCGGTCCACCCCTCTATTACTACCAACCTCTTGAAATCCCTCGCAGATCCAGATATAGTCGACCTCTCCTATGCTCTTGCTGTATTTCGTCGAATTCCTAGACCTTCCAACTTCCAGTGGAATACCATCATCAGGGCCTGCTCAAGGAACCAGGTTCCCCAAGAATCAGTTGCCCTTTACCGTGAAATGTGTCGCGAAGGTGTTACTCCCGACGTTTATACCTTTCAGTTCTTGTTTAAGGCTTGTAGTCAGTGCTCTTCGATCCGGGAAGGTCAGACAGTCCATGGAAACTTTCTCAAGTTATTTGACGGTTCCGATATCTTTGCTAGGAACTCTTTAATCCACATGTACTCCGAGCTCGGGCATATCGAAGTAGCCCGAAGAATATTTGACGGAATGGACCAGAAAAATGTTGTTTCATGGACGATGATGGTTGGTTGTTATGCAAAAATTGGGTGCATGGATGAGGCTCGGAGTTTGTTTGATCAAATGCCTGAAAGAAATGTTGTTTCCTGGACTAGCATGATTGCCAGTTACGTTCAGATTCATCAATTTGAAGAAGCTGTTGGCTTTTTCAAGAAGATGGTATCATCTAACATTAAGCCAGATGTCGTTGCCATGGTTTCAGTGCTCTCCGCTTGTTCCCATCTACGGGAATTGGATTTAGGCAAATGGGTTCACCATTTTGTCTCCAAAGAACGGATTGGCATGACTAGGCATTTAGCAGTTGCTTTAATCGACATGTATGCCAAATGTGGAGATATGGATGCTGCCCGTCAAGTTTTTGATAGCATGGGCAGTAAGGTTCTTGTAGCCTGGAATGCCATCATCGATGGGTACTGCAAATTGGGAAAGTTGGATGTTGCTTGTTCCCTTTTTGATCAGATGGGTGATCGGGATCTTGTAACATTTAATTCAATGATAACTGGGTATGTCCAGAATAGTAGCTTCAAGGACGCCTTCTTACTGTTTTCAGAGCTGTGGCATTCGGGTTTAAAGCCTGACAACTTCATGATTGTGAGTTTACTCTCAGCTTGTGCAAATTTAGGTGCACTATATCAAGGCAAGATGTTGCATGCTTATATCGAGCAAAGTTCAGCAGAGCCAGATGTTTTTGTGGGGACAGCACTTGTAGACATGTATGCAAAATGTGGGTTGATAGGTGAAGCAAAGCAGGTCTTCAACATAATGCCCAACAAAGATGTCTTAGCTTGGACAGTTATGATTTCAGGTCTTGCATTGCACGGAGATGGGAAATCTGCTCTTGATCACTTCTTGTTAATGAGAGAAGAAGGGATTAGGCCAAACAGAGTCACATATGTTGCTGTCTTGAGTGCATGTAGTCACTCAGGCCTTGTTGAAGAGGGTTATTTCCATTTCAACGAGATGGTGTCTATATTCAATATAGAACCTCAAATTGAGCATTATGGTTGTATGGTTGATCTTCTTGGTCGTTCTGGATATCTAAAGGATGCTGAGCGACTAATCCAAAGCATGCCTGTGGAACCAAATGCTGTTATCTGGGGGTCTCTATTAGGTTCTTGTAGAGTTTATAATGATGTAGAATTGGCAGAGAAGGCAGCAAAAAATCTTCTTGTGTTGGAGCCTCAGAAGGATGCTATTTACATATTATTATACAACATATATAATAGCACTGGAAGGTGGTCCAGTGCTGTTGAGTTGCGGGGCATGATGGAGGGTTGCGGTATCAGAAAATTGGCTGGTTGTAGTACTATTGTAATTGAGGGGATTGTTCATGAATTTATTGCTGGTGATAGATCACATCCTCAGTTTGATGAGATACAAACCATGATGAGTGCCATGGCAACTAGGTTGAAGTTGGCAGGTCATGTGCCTAGAATTTCTCAGGTTTCATTGGATATTGATGAGGAGGAGAAAGAAAATATACTGTTCAATCACAGTGAGAAGATGGCTATTGCTTTTGGCATCCTCAAATTAGGAAAAAATATTCCAATTCATATTCTCAAAAACTTGCGGGTTTGCAGGGATTGCCACTCTGCAATCAAGTTGATTGCAAAAATTTGGAACAGAGAAATTGTAGTTAGGGATCGGAGTCGTTTCCATCACTTCAGACAGGGACAATGTTCATGTGGTGATTTTTGGTAAATGTAATTTAGGCTCCATTTGTTTGCAGTGCAAATCTGAACCAGGTACAAATTTTGTACCCAGTTCAGTTTTGCATCTGTTTGTTTGTAACTATTTGCACTCCAACCTGATACAGAATTTGTGCTTTTCTCATCTGCACTCATTGCCAGTGCAAATTTTGCATCCCAAAAGTTGAAAAATCTGCACCACCTTCCCACATCAATTCTCTCATATGAAGTAGAGACTACATCATCTTGCTTTTTTACCTCACTCTCAAGCAAATAACCCTCCTACCTCCATTCTCTTTCATACAAGGTGGAAACCACATCATTTTGCTTACTATTTTTTACTTCTCACAAACAAATAAGACAAAGTCTAATGTGAAGCAAAAGTAAACCAGAATTTGCATTCCCATGTATTTACACAAATTAAGGATTGTTACCCTCCTACCTCCATTCTCTTTCATACAAGGTGGTAAGGGTGGCCACGAGCTGAGCTTTTTATGAGCTATTCGAGTTGAGCTCGAGTTTGATATATTGGCTTGTTTTCTAATCGAGCCGAGCTCGAGCCCAATAAAGCTCGGCTTATGAGGCTCGCAAACCTAATCGAGCCTAGTATAATAAATAAATATTTTGTATTACATATAAATATATTTTAATTTTTTATATGTATAAATATAAAAATAAAAAAAATATATATTTATTACATATAAATATATATAATAAATATTTTTTATTTTTATGTGTAATAGTAAATATTTTTTATAATTATTATTTTTATGAAATAAAAACATTTTTATATGTATAATAATAAATAATTTTTATAATTCTTAATTTTTGTATGTAAAATAAAAAAGTATTTTTATATTTATAATTTTTTATTTTTTAGGAAAAAACTTTGCTTGCAATCGAGCTCGAACTTGCGAGCTTTGAATCGAGCCGAGCTCGAGCTCAAATCTCTACCTTGAATTGAGCTTGAACCTAACACAATTTTAGCGAACCGAACTCGAATAGCCAAGTATTCGGCTTGGCTCGAATCCACCCCTACAAGGTGAAAACCACATCATTTTGCTTACTATTTTACTTCTCACAAACAAATAAGACAGTCAAATATGAAACAAAAGTAAACCAGAATTTACACTTAATCGATTTGCATTCCCATGCATTTACACAAATTGAGCCTTAAGGATTGTTAACAGCATACATTATCTAGAGACAGAATTACAGCCTACGTATAACTTAATTGAATTGCTTGAGCATTTGTTACTTTGTTCTTTTGGCAGAATTTATCTCACCAGTTGTTTTTTCATTAAAGAAGTTAATTTCTTTCTAATATTGGATTCTAGTAATCACAATTCAGACTGTCCCTCTCATTCACATGTCTGGAGTTGCATTTTCTGACGTAGGTCATCTCAACTGCTAAACATATTGTCTATTGAGTGATCCCAATTACATTGGATCAAATATGAGATTGGTTGAATGGTGCATCATGTGAGCCGTGTTATTGTTATGGAAATGATGGATTTGGCATGCACACATGCATTAACCTATAGTTGAGTTTTATTAGTCTCTTTGATATAAATGTCTTTAGTCTCAAGAAAGATGACTAGAATGCTCTAAATTATGTTCAACACTAAAAATCCCACACTCCCCCCTCACTTCCAAAGCAATAGTTGTTTGCTTCTTTTTTTGTGAACAAACATGCATTAATTGAACACAGAACAGTCAAGGGAAACAAAAGATATTAGCCACATTGGAGGGGAGGACCACACAAACTCCCCACTTAATTAAGTGTTCCATATTTTGGTTATTGTATGAGTTGCCTTGTTAGCATCTCTATTGATACATACAAAACGAACAGTAAGTAGTCTGCATAAGAAATTGATGTTGTCCAAAATGTGTAGACAAGTCCAAGGCACCAAAGAAAGATTCTTAGAGAGAACATTAATAGCCAAGGCCGAATCAGATTCTATAACCACTCAGTTCCAATCTTTGTCTTTAGCAAATCTGATGGCCCCCAAAATAGCCCTGAGCTCAGCTTTTATGTCTCCCTCTACTACCATAAAAGAAGACCCACAGCGGCAAGAAAACGATTAGAATGGATACTAATAGAATGAGAGCTACTCGTTTTGGGGTAATTACATAATTTCTTTGCTCATCAGAAAGACAACTCTAGATTTTCGGTCATGGCAGTAATCTTAATGTTAGAGAGGATCCATCTAATCCTGCTTAAGACCCAAGATACGGATTCTCACCCTCTGGAAAAGCCTCATATTTCTTACACACCAAATATAGCAGAAAGCCACAGTAATCCAATAAAGAAGCTCATTCTACAAATTCTTATCTCGGAGTGATGGGGGGCTGTTGCAGAAGAAAGTACCGAAAGGATCGAATTTAAAATTTTTGAGAAAAATGTGATTTTGGAATTGGAAAGGATCAATGCTAGCACTAAAGAGATGGATGACTTAAAGAGATTTGATAATGCAGCAAGACATTTCAAAAGGAACCAAAAAAAGGGTGAAGAAACCCCATTGTGACTGGTTTTAGTGACTATTTAAAACATTGTGTCTTCAGACGCACCTCAAATCCGATGATAACTAATTTCAAACATTGTGACTATTTAAAAGGTAGTTAATATTTAATAACTAATTTTGAATTGTGCCTCTTAATCACATCCGATTGAATCGTGGCCGTTGATAACATCAACAATCAGCATCGAACCAAAAACTTCATATTCTTATTTTCTATTTCTAAAGAGTATAAATCAGTTCCTATTAAAAAACTCAAAACAAAACTTGTAATTTTCCAATGTGGGATAAGTTAAAACTGGTTTTAGTAAGAGAAAAACTATTTTTTCAAAACATGTGTGCAAATGTGTTTTGTTATGTAATTGACCAATCAAACCTCATTGAATTTAATCTCTAATGAGATTAAAATCCAATAAAATCTAGGGGGATTTGAAGTTTCCACACTTTCCTAATCAGCTTGGCATCTTGATCTGACATGGGAAATCTTTTGGAGCTCCAAGATTGTAGCAGAAGATTTTGGTGGCGAGTTTCCTATTTCGAACACTTCAACCAGACGATCTGTGTTAATACAAATATGAGTTTTGATATATCATTCAACACAGGATTAAACAATAAATACGACTTCAAATAGAACAAATTGGTGCTCACTCCATATATAAGTTAGGATAAGACAAGAATGATGATTCAACAGTATTAACAAAAAAAGAGATTCCAGCTATTGCTGTAGTTTGGTGAGGGTCCTGAGGGAGTAGCTTGTTTGTACATTCAAGTGAATGTCACTACCCAAATCCCAACTTTTTAGGTGCACTCAGAAAAAGTATATAAAACAGGGTAAAGGGCATCTTAACTTTTCTTGTTCCATGTAGAATAAATGTCTTTCCACTTGTCTTTTACTATAGGGAAAATTCTTGATTAGTATCTTGTATTCTGGGCCAAGTGCCACTTTGGTCCCCGAATTTTGGAATGTGACAATTCAGTACTTGAACTTTAAAATGACACTTTGGCCTTTCATGTTCAGATSGCCATTACTTTAATCCATTTATTTTCCTTTCCTCTCCACCATGTCTTAGCTCCTTTTACTCAAGTAGTAATGTCGAAAATGAATACTTAAAGCTATGTTTGGTTTGAAGGAAAAAGTAGGGAAAGGAAAGGAAAGTTAAGAAAACCTTCACAAATCTTGTATAGGTTTCCCTACATTTTCTTTATTTTCCTTACTTTTTCCTTTAAACCAAACATAGCCTTAGGGCTATTCTTGTCTTGCCAAGTATATAATTTTTCTCTAATTATGAGGTTTACGATTCTTTGATCTCATCCCTGTTGATGCTAGCATTGCAAAGTATATATTTTTTCTCAAAAATACGAGTGCATTGCAATATATGCTTTCTTCCAAAAACGCAAGTTTTTTTTTTTTTCGCAATAGACATGTTAGGAATAGGGGAGATTCCAATTTTTAAACATAAAAAACCCCGCCATAGTTTTTATGTATACCAATACATATCATACAATATGCATCGACACAATGCGATATTTTGAACCTTGGCTCAGGATATTCTCTCAACAAAAACAAATGTTCCAACGTGTTCTGTGTTCACACATCATGATGGGTCTTAGTCTTAGTCTTAGTCGTATCTATCTTTGAAAAATAGATACAAGATACGCATGGAAATCGGACGTATTGTCTTTTTTTTTTTCATGTGTATCGGACCCGTATCGAGGCGTATCGGGGGTGTATCGGAGCGTATCGACGAAAAAGATACGGCCAAAAACTGAAAAAAAAGGGGAAAACAAGCTTCTTTTCCCTGAAATAAGCCTTATTTCACCTCCAAATGACTCTAAAACTCCAAACTTCATTCCTAGAGTGCTAGATTTGCAAGAAACAAGTGTGAATCGTTAATTCTTTTTATTTTTTTCAAATTTAAAAAAAAATATGGCAAAAATAGGTAGGTTTTTCAATTTTTTTTTATAATATCTTGTGATTTCTTTTTTTTCTTGAATGTTTAAATTTATGTTGATCTACATTTCTTACATTCAAAATCATATTTTTTTGTATTATTAATAAATTTATGGAAATTTCATAAAGATATTTGGGGAAAATATAAATTAATAAAAAAATTTGAAAATATAAATTTTCTCTGCCTATAAAGACTAAATATGTTTTAGATATATGGATTTATCTATCATATCCATAGAGCAATTGAAATTTCTTCTTTAGTTTTTTTTTTAATTTTTTATATTTTTAGAATTGAAAAATAATAATTAACTATATTTTATCATGTGATTACAAAAATTGAATATATTATAATTCTGTTGATGATCTATCATATCCACAGACCAATTGAAATTTCTTATTTAATAATTATTTTTTAATATTTTTATATTTTTAAAATTAATAAATAAATAAATAATTAATTATATTTTATCATTTGATCACAATGATTGAATATATTATAATTCTATGGATGATCTATCATATCCACAAAGCAATTGAAATTTCTTCTTTAATAACTATTTTTTGAATATATTATATAATGTTTATTTATTTATTATAATTTTTGGAAATAAATAATAAATAATTATTATTATATTTTCACTTGGAAGTCGTGCCAATGCATGTTTTATGGTTGGATAAGAGAGTTGGGTTTTTCCCATCCCATAAAACAATTATAATTTATAAATTATAGTTAAGCATATGTTTAATGAAATTATAATTAAGTACAATATATTTCTTCATAAAATCATTAAAATATATTAATTTAATGTATATACACCTCATTGTGGTCTTTTATTTAGTGTTATTGATGTATTTTTATGATTTGTTAAAGTATTTATAATATTTTCAAGCATATCTTAGTTTTTTTTTGATACACATGCGTATCCAAAACATATATCGATACGTCTTTTAAAATTGCCTTTCCCATACACTTAAAGTTTCCGATACTTTGAACCTTGGTCTTATGATGAAATATGTGAACATAAATTATCTTAGAATCGTGTTGAAATAATTTCTGTTGGGAGGAGATTCCAACTCTTGGCTCGTTTGCTCCTCACTGAATGCTTGAGGGAAATGACAAAATAAAATACAGGAGACGTGCGGCTGCAACCTGCAAGTGATGTGAGGAGCAAATCCGGATTCGGATAACCTTGCTGTGGGAAATTGGAAATGGCATTGGCAAAGAGGATGATGCGTGTCACGAATCTTTGCAAAATGATCCGGTTTCAAGAATCACCAGTGCGGATTTGGAGGGGGAAATAATGCCTTTTTGTCCCTTTAAAGCCAAACAGATCTTTTATTTCGCGACTTAGGTAAGTTTGGCGTTTCAACGGTAAAATGCACCTAATCTACATTCAACACGAATGATTCGTTGATTCTCAATTTCTCATCCAAAATCGAGGGGTGCGTATCACTCGATGTGCGCAGTTTAGAGATCCATTGTGGGTGGGGGCGGGGAGTGTGCTTAAAATTCAGTCCGGGGATGACGAAACTCTGTAACACCGCTTCTGATTGGTGTGCTTGCTGGCTCCGCCCCCGATTTCCTTATTCCATATACTCCCCTCGATCGACGCCTGTGACTTTGAGAGCTAGACCCTTCTTTCGTTCAACGTAAGGTCTCTCTCTCTCTTCGAAAACAAACAGAATGGCACCAAATCTATCTCTTTCTCTTCGTAGAGTTTTCAGATGCTGGGATGATTACTTGTTTCTACAGATGAACTAATTAATGGGTCGCATTTTTTTATCTGCTCTTACTTGGATTTTGATTTTTTTCTTTCTTTCTTTCGGATTTTGGTCTTATCTGGATCTTGAAGTCAAGGTTACTGGTGGTTTTTAATGAATAAACTATGTAATTGTTGTGATGACTTACGGGTTTCTGATATATTTCTCTTTCTTTCTTCTTCTCCTTATGGGTTTTTAGTGAGAGAGTTGGAACCAATACATGAGAAGAATATAATCAGTATGAACATGATTCATCAGCTAGTTATTAGGAGCTTTACTTAAACATTGAAAGCTAAAAAGTATACCTTTTCTTTACCAGATCGAGCGTAAAAGATTATTGGCCATCTAATTCTTTATCACTAAGATGGAAATGCACTTAAAAGACGCAAAATATACAATTGAAATGGAGTAATGCTGTAGAACAGTAGAAGTATTGCTGGAAGAGAGGTTGATGCTGGTATTCTCCATCATTGGCATCGTAATAAATTTAGTTTGCTTCCTTATGAATGCAATATGAGCTCATGTTGGAGTCCTAAGTATCGCACAGAATGCTATTCCTTTTACATTACATATCTATCTTATATTGCACAAATCCACAACCCTACTACCTAGGAGCCTTTACTTCTTAGACAATGCCTCTGTATTGGAATTTTCTCCATGTTTTCTTACCTCCTTTTCCTAAAAGTAATCTCTGTCATATGCCAATTCCAGCTTCTTTTTATTTTTATTTCACATATGAATACCCTATATAGTATTTATTTTGTTTAGAGTTTTGAATCCAAGTTTTCTTCAGGCTACTAGATGCAATATCTTTTCTTCTTCATATCTTCCAATGTTCATTCCTAATTTAACTAATTTCATCCCTTTCTTTTATTTGAAGTTCTTTTTGTACTATTCAAACAGGTTAAATATTTAACCTGTAACATGCATGTTGTAGGACAAGTGGACAACATATCTAGGTTTCTCAAGAGTCAAGACGATTGAAGACTATTTATAATTAACATTCAGTTCATGCACATGATTGATTACTGAGCGCTATCTCAGGTTTTAGATGGAAAGTTTCTCTTCTCAAAGTTCATCATGCTAAGAAACATTCCCTAGATATTTTAATCTTGCCCACTAGTTAAAGCTTCCAGTAACATTCTATTTACTGACCTTTCTTTTCCTGCTGAATTTGTACTTTTGCAGTAAGAAATTATTAAGATTGCTCAATATGGATGTATCACGAACCATGGCTCAAAAGGAAGCACTGGCAGTCTCAGATGCAACAGTTGAAGAAGAATATGCATCCCAGTCTAAGTTACTTCTAGAGTTCATTAATATCCCTAGTATTGATAAAGCATGGACTTTCAAGTCCGACAAAGGTAATATATGTTTGTTTTGCCATTTTATAGTAATAATTCTTTGTTCTGTAGAAGACGATGGTCAGAAGTTGTTAATAATTTCTTATATTTTCTTTTCCTATTTCAGCCTGACTATTTTATTGGATATGGGAACTCTGTTTATAAACACACTTTTCCTTTTCTTATTTGCTGCAGGAAATGTCTCCCAAGCAATGGTTTCAATTAGCCAAGCAAATCTGTTGGCAAACAAAAAGAGGAAATATATTCTGTCAGCTCATATTTCAGAAGAAAGTAACCATTCTGTAAGCTTCCAATGGGCTACATTTCCCGTCGAGATGGCAGGTGTGTCTGTAATTGTGCCATCACCATCAGGTTCAAAGCTTCTTCTTGTTAAGAATCAGGAAAATGGATTGCCAACACAGTTTGAAATCTGGAGTTCCTCTCAATTGCAAAAGGAAATACACATCCCTCAATCTATTCATGGTTCAGTGTATACAGATGGATGGTAACTACAAAGTAGGAAATTAATTAACTTGATAGGTGGCCTTGTTTTGTACTAAAAAGCAAAGTTCTTTCTCTGTATCCTTCTTTTTGTTTATCCATGGAGTCCATTTTTTTCCTTATTGCCACTACAATTCTTGCAAGGACTTAATCATTTTAATGATCTTGCTATGTCACAGGTTTGAGGGAATTTCTTGGAACTCTAATGAAACTCGCGTCGCTTATGTTGCTGAGGAGCCATCTCAGTCTAAGCCTGTATTTGATGGTTCTGGTTACAAGAAGGAGGGTTCTGTTGATAAGGATTGTGGGAGCTGGAAAGGTCAAGGAGACTGGGAGGAGACCTGGGGGGAAACCTATTCAGGGAAAAGGCAGCCTGCACTCTTTGTCATTGATATTTATAGGTTGGTTTTCTGTGGTTCCTGTTGTCTCTCTATGGTAAAAATGAAACGTGTAAATTGCTGCTTTGGAATTTAAGAACTCAATTTCTCTGCATTTGCAGTGGCGACGTACGTGCTGTTGAAGGAATTGAAAAGTCTTTGAGTGTTGGACAAGTTGTATGGGCACCATCAACCCAGGGTTCACATCAATATTTGGTTTTTGTTGGGTGGTCATCAGAGACTGGTCCTCAGAAAGTCGCGAGAAAGCTTGGTATAAAATACTGTTACAATAGGCCGTGTGCCTTGTATACAATCCGAGCTCCAGTTCATGAACCAGAAGCTGAATTGTCTCTCAAGTGGGTTATCAGCTTGGAAGTTGGAACAAAACGTTCATGGTTTCTGATATGTTTTTTTGCCTTTTCTGTATGTTATATTAGAGCCTAAAATTTTCTGCAAGCTTTCCTTTTCAATAACTGTAGATTTTTTCTTATGCTTCAGAAATAATGCAGCTGAAGATTTTGCTCTTGTTAATCTAACTCAAGGCATAAGTAGTGCTTTCTTCCCAGTGTTCAGGTATTTCTTACTATTTTCATGCTTGGATTCAGTGATTGGGTTAAGCAAGTCCATATTTATTTTTCTTAATATGACCACTGAAGCTTGACTAGAGGTTTTTGTTCAAATATCTATAGCTAAATTCCTGAGATATCAGAAGCAAAATGAGTTCATTTGGAGCATTAAACTTGAGATGAAATGCTAATTCTATATATTGTCATATCTTTCCACAAAGGACATTGAAGTATCTTTCTGTTTAAATATTTATTTCTGCTTTTCTGATTGAGACAAAGGATCTCTAGTTGATGGTTATTTAGTGCCTCACACTTCAATGGATTTAGTTTGAGGAATAGGAGTTTGGTTAATAAAAAGCATCATAAGCAAGTAATGGAAGTTTGAAGACCAGTGTATTTATTTATTTATTTTTTGATAATTAACATTGCTGTGTTTCATTCATCATGAAGAAAGGATTGCTGATTACGATGATCAGACAAACTACAAACAGCCTTAAGCTGATCAGTAATAATCAAACAATGGATTAAATTAATTACAACAATGACCCTGGTCCCAAACAACCAGTAAGTAACTTAGGACATGAAACTCCTGATTTGGCTGATATTTCAGTGGCTTCATTAGCACTTCTCCGGACCAACCCTCCTAAAGAATCAATCTCTCTAACAATGAATCTGAAAACCCATTGAACTCGTATTCATTTAATTTTTAATTTCTAAGCAGTTTTCATATTCTTGGTTTGCTGACCTTCTTGGATCTTACATAACTGCTGAATGTTGGTATACAAAAGATAGTGCCATGTTGCATCTTGTTTCACTTGTAAAAAGACATCCAAAATTAAGGACTCTTATGTTGCCCATAACATATTTTCTCACTGTACACCTGTTCCATGCTTGAACCATGGACTGATGCTACTGCACAATTTCTCTGATAAATGAAGAAAATGAATATTGCTTAATTGGAGCCATTGAATAAGTACATTGTCGATGAAAGAAGTGTATAGCTTCCCTGGAACTGCTGACTGGCTGAAAATAGTTTTATTTTGACAGTCTAGATGGAAAATTCCTAGTGTTTTTATCTGCAAAAAGTGCTGTGGATACTGGAGTACATTGTGCAACAGAGTCGCTGCATAGAATTGATTGGTCCATCGATGGAAAGCCATGCCCATCTTCAAATATTGTTGATTTGGTAATAAACCCATTTTCTTTTTATCTGTTAAGTTTGTTTTCTAAAGGATTAATCAGAAAGAATCCAGTAAATATAATCTTTGTATGTAAAATTTGGTTTCTTAAGGTCAGCAAACAGCTTGGCTGATGATTTGGCTAGGCAAGGGGTCAATAGACCACACCTGTATTGGGAAAGAGGAAGTGGATAATAGATTGTAAAGGGAAAGGCAGCTATGTGTAGTCTGTTAACTTTAGAACGTTTAAGCATACTCCGCCTCCTTACAATGAACATAATAGTTTTTCTACCAATTAAATTACAGTTACCAATCAAAAGTCAGATTGGCAATGAAGAATATCATTGAAACAGAAGTTGGATTTATTGGGGTTTAATTCCCCAAGGGGGAAACTTGTAAATGAAAAGCAGTAATGGTGGTTGGCCAAGGCTAATTACTTAATTGGGGTGTGTGATGCACAATAGCTGTATATCATTCTTTTATACTGATGTTAATAGCTAATGTGTTACTGATAAAATAAGGAAGGTATAATCAAAGATAGGGGCTAGACCACCCAAGCCTACAAAGAGGTAGATGTTTATGTTATGTATATACTTCTGCTTTTGAATTTTATATGGTGTATTTTAAATGCTATTATCTGTCTTATGCCTTTGTTTCATCGTTAATACTTAATACTAGAGGAATATTGTATCAATATTTAACGCTTAATATAAAAGGCTATTACCCAATGTTGGTCCTGGCTATTTGGGGCCTTGGGAGAGGTAGACTGGATAGGACCTAATCTTTACCTTTTTTTTTTTTTTTTTCTCTTTTTCACAAAGTGGATGCTCTCAGACCTGAATCCATGTTCTCACGCTTGTCAAACTGAGATTTTACCACTACATCAAGTAATGATGACCCCTTGGTTATATAATTACACCGGGTGACAAGTATTAATTGATGAATGCACTGATTTAGTAAATGTCATGGACATTTAACCATCCTCTGTTACATAGTTTAGTAAATGTCTTGTACTTTCACTGTAAATTATGTTAAATTGTGCATGTTGTAGGGAGTTTTTTACTACAAAATAAATGCATAATTTCCTAGTTCAAGCCTTAGCTTAGGTAAGTCCTATAACTATATCCTTGTGGCCTCTCCCTTGAAACTTCTATTGGTTAAAGGCATTTTGCTGGTGACAAACGCATAAGGCCTCCAAAATGGAATAGAACATTTCTTAGCCTCATTGGAAAAAAAAAGAACAGATAAAACCAGTGTTTTAAAAGGCGTGGGARGCGTACACTTGGAGGCGTGCCTCCAGGCGAGGTTTGCCCAAAACGCCTTAAGGCGTATGCCAGAGGTGCTGACACCTCTGAGGCGAACACCTCAGGTGCAAGAGGCGTATGCCTTATACGTTTTTTTTTTCATGAGGCTTGCTAGAGGCATACACTTCATGCACACCTCATGTAAAAAGACTGAAAAAAAAGAAAGAAAAAAAGAAAAAAAAAAGGAAAGGAAGGGAAAGGAATAGAAAGGGAAGGGGAAGAAAAAGAAAGAAAGAGAAGAGAAAAAAAGAGGAGAAGAAAGAAAAGGAAAGGAAAGGGAAGGGAAGGGAAGATAAGGGGAAAGAAAGTGGGCCAGGGGCTTCCCTTGGCTGGGGGGCGAAGCTCCCAGCCCCCTTTCAACTAGTGCTGTGCATCTTCATTTTTCTTAATATAAAAGATTTTTATTAAAAATAAAGAAAAATGAGATTTTTCTTCCTCCTCATCCCCCTCCTCTTAAGGAGGCTTATGCCTCGTATGTTTTGAACTACGCCTCACACCTCTAGGTAGTGGAATGCATTGCGTCACACCTCGGCGTTTTAAAACATTGGATAAAACATTTACATAATTATCTGTCAATGCTGAACTTGAAACCACTTTTTGAAGACTTTTGGAGAAGAAATATTGCTTGTGGTCAATATATGATATCTAGCATATTATCTTGAAACATGTTGTTCTGCCATACTTCACACCCCCACCCAAAAGGGTCTAACAGAAAGCAAAAGTTGATATCACATAATTTGTATCTCTTCAGTGGTTATATAATTATATTAGGTGACAAGTATTAACAATTAAACGATGAGTTTACTGATTTAGTAAATGTCATGGACATCTTAGCTGTCTTCTGTAATTACATGTCTTTTGTTGGTATTTTGTGTAGGTTCCTGTTGTGATGTGTGCTGAGGATGGTGCCTTCCCTGGGCTTTATTGTTCAAGTCTCCTCAATAAACCTTGGCTTTCTGATGGATGCACTATGATTTTGTCTTCCGTTTGGGGAAGCATTCGAGTAATATTGTCTGTAGATGTGTTGAGGTAATTAATATCATCTATGGTGTTGATACCAGAAACTTGTTAATCATCTCCATGTAATTGATGTGTGGATATATGCTTCTTTCCTTGTAGTGGAAAAGTATCACGAATCAGCCCTGCTGACTCATGTTCTTCCTGGAATGTTCTTACCCTGGATGGGGACAACATTATTGCTGGTAATAAAATGGGTGCAAGGCACTTAAACTTCGTAATTAACTTGATTCTTTTTTACAAAAGTAATAAAATCTGTTATTACTGATTTAAAAAATATTGATTGCTGATCTATTCCATGATCCTTTCAATCAATTAGTCATTAAATAATTTTTTGTTAACCCATAACTTGGGATGTACAACACTTATACATGATTTTTCTTCTTAATCAATGAAGTCTTCGGTTTACTTACCAATTTGTTTTTAGGTTAAAAGAAATAAAAAGTGATTTTGTTTTTGCATTTTTCTTTTTGAAGTATCTAGCAGTCTCATACATCTCCCTCAAATCAAGTATGGATGTCTCATTGAGAAGAAAGAAGGAATTTCAAGTGTTTCATGGAATTGGATGGATGTTTCAAGCCCTCTATCCCAATATTCTGAAAAGGTTGACCTTTCAATTATAGGATATTTTTGCATTTAAATTAATCTTATGGTTATAATTGTATGGATCATTCCCTTGACCCTTATTGTGTTCTGCAGGTTAGATCATTGATGCCTTCCCTTCAATTCAAAATACTGAAGATACCAGTTAGGGGTGCTTCTGATGACCTTACTAGAGGTAATGTCTTATCTTTCATTTTAAGTTTTCATGTTAAACCATTGATTGCTTGTGCAATATTTATTGGGGCCAATAAAGAGGGGATCCAACCCCACTAGAATTCAGGGTGTGAAAAGTGGTACCACAGAGCTACAATGGAATTTAATAGTGGATGTTTTGAGTGTTATGATCTCCAGAGATGACTCCAAAAATGACTCCAGAAATATTTTTCATGGGTGGAGAGTAGGGAGGCAAGAAGTAGTGGTTACACATTTACAGTTTGCAGATGATATAATTCTCTTTTGTGAGGGAGAGCCTGAGGAGATGATCAATCTGAAATTGTTGGTAGAAGGTTTTGAAAAAGTCTCTAATTTGAGAGTGAATTGGAATAAAAGTTGTGTGGCTGGGGTTAATAGATCAGATGAGGAGGTGTCTTCCTTGGCTAGGTTGTTAGGTTGTGAGTGGAGTGATTGGCCTATAAAATACTTGGGTTTACCCCTGGGGGGAAATCCAAAGTCAAAAAGTTTCTGGTACCTAGTCTTGGAAAGATTCATAGAGGCTAGCAGGGTGGAAGAGGAATTACATCTCTTTCGGAGGTAGAATCACTTTAATTAAGTCAACTTTAGCAAATTTTCCAGTGTACTTCCTGTCTACCTTCGAAGTGCCTGTCAAGGTGGCAAATCATTTGGAAAAAGTAATGAGAGATTTCCTCTGGGAACCTGGGGAGTCAAAAAAGGATCACCTAGTGAAGTGGGAAATGGTCTCTAGGACAAAAGACAAAGGGGGTTTAGGGATTGGAAATATCCGTCTAAGAAACATAGCACTCTTAGGTAAGTGGTTGTGGAGGTTTCCCAAGGAGCAGGAAAGCTTGTGGCATAGAGTGATAGAAAGCATACATGGGTTGGCAGCAAATGGATGGGATGCTGGTATCAACCCAAGGGCTTCTCGTTCCTCTCCGTGCAAAGACATTGTTGGTATCTTGCCCGCCTTTTCTCCATAGTTTTCAAGGCGCCCAGGCGAGGCTAGGCGACTGGGGGGCACCTAGTCACCTAGTCGCCTAGGTGATGAATTTTTTTATGTTAAAAAATAGATCTTAGGGTAGTTCCCTAGGTACCATAACCATATTTCTTTAATAATTATTCATGGTTTTCATAAGAAAAGTATACATTTCATATTAAAGTATAGAAAATCAACATATTCATGAGAAGAAAAGGAAGAAGGAAAATAAAATTCAAAAAATATAGGGGTTGAACCCTTATTTTTGTTATAGGAAAAGAAGAAAATAAAAAGTATTGGTAGTAGTAGAAGAAGAAGAAGAAGAAGAAGAAGAAGAAGAAGAAGAAGTAGAAGAATATATGGAAGAGGAAAATGTGCTGTTAGAAAAAAATTTTAGTTCCTCCTTACTTAATGGTTCAGGTTTTTAAGTCTTTGAGGGTTCAATACAGAATTTATCAATGTTTGTGTTGATTAAACCCTAATAAATAAGAAAATAATAAAAAGAAATTAGTATATAAACACACAAAATGATTATTTTAGTTTAATAATGTCTATTTTATAATTATAATCTCAAAAAATTATGAATAAAAAAGTATTTTATAGTAGGAAGTAGGAAACTGTTAGGCGATTGGATGAGGCGAGCCTCAAAGGGCGCCTTGTCGCCTAGGTGTCACCTTGACAACTATGCTTTTCTCCTTTCATCAGGTATGACACTTGTTCGGGTAATAAGGTCCTTTTTTGGGAGGACGTTTGGGTTGGGGACCAGCCTCTTAAGGATAGGTACTCGGCCCTCTACTCCTTGTCCTTGAACAAATTTAAAGTCATCTCTACCTTTCGTGTTTCTAATGAGGCGTGGGATTTAGGGTTCAGGGGAGGGTTGAGGGAGTCAGAATTAGGGTTGGCAGATTATCTTTTCTCTCTTTTAAATTCAATGTTTTTGGATCATTCTTGTCTTGATAATAGAATTTGGTCTGAAGAGTCCTCCGGTTATTTTTCATGCTCTTCTTTCTTCAATGCTTTAGTGCACTCTTCCAATTTAGTTTACTCTTTTCCTATAAAACAAGTGTGGAGTGCTCCTATACCTCCAAAGGTGAGGGCTTTTTGTTGGGAAGTGGTTCTCCAAAAAATCAACACTTTGGACTTGCTTCAGAAAAAAAGACCAAATTGGTTCTTATTCCCTCATGTTTGTAGCCTTTGCTTGAAGAGTGGTGAGACGGTAAATCATCTACTAATATCTTGTCCTTTTGTTACTCTTATTTGGGATTGGTTTTCCTCTCTCTTTGGGTGTAGGTGGGTTCCTCCTACAAGCGTGGTGGATCTTTTTCAGTCTAGCTTTTTTCATCAGTCAAAGAAAAGAGGAAGGGTAATGTGGAGAGCAACGAGGGCAGCAGTTGTTTGGGTAGTGTGGGAAGAGAGAAATAACAGAATCTTTCAAGGGAAAGAAAAATCAGCACATGAAGTCATAGAAGGGATCATCATCAAGATCATACATTGGCTGAAATCGCTGGATCTGTTATCTTTGGGTATGGTGGAGTGCGGTAGCAGCTTCTTCCTGCCCCTCTTTAGCTATTCAAGAGGACTGGTTGCCTCCGTTATCTTTGGATGTTAAGTTAAATTTTGATGGCAGTTCTATAGGTAATCCAGGCCCCTCTGGAATTGGGGTTGTCTTTAGAGATGAGGACTGGGTGACTCTCTTAGAGCAGAAGTTTTGGCACTCCTACAAGGGCTCAAGCTGGCTAAACAGCTGGGTTTTCAGCAGTTGGAAGTGGAGGGAGACTCGAAATTGGTAATAGGTTGGATGCAAACTCGTGAATTGGAAAAGAGAACTATGGAAATTTAGATAAAGCATAGAGAAAAACAAGACCAAATGAAATTGCCACTAATATTGCAAAAAGAATAAACTCAACCAACAATAACTGGTCCTTTCTGTAACAGATGAATACTCTGAGAAAAAAACAAAGTTGTGCCACACCAAGCATATAGACTTATCCAAACCAATAAATAAAGGGTCTCCAATCAATACTCTGAATCATGAAAAGAGATATTTCAACAAAAAAAGATGGTTAGGAAAAGTTACGAGTCCTGGGTACAGATATGGTTAGGAAAAGGGTCTCCAACCAATACTCTGAATCATGAAAAGAGATATTTCAACAAAAAAAGATGGTTAGGAAAAGTTACGAGTCCCGGGTACAGATATGGACATGGAAACAAATACAGCAAAGGGATTTGGACCTCTCCATTTCCTAAAATCCTGGACACAGATATGGGTATGTCTATCTCATGTACTATGCTTATCTCTAGCTTTAAAGCTGAAGCTCATTTTTCAAGACTTTCTTCAGATTTAATTGAATTTCTAACATGTACATCTCTTTTTAATAGTATAATTTATTAAAATACACCATTTTACACATTTTAAAAGTATAAAGGCTATAAGGTATGTCTTGAAGCATCCATCCAGTATCCAGTATCATATCCAACACCAGTACGTTCTGGGTATCATTGTTGAAAACCTGTTAAAAGAGCACAAACTTCCACTTTGTCAAGTCTGTAAATCCAATGGAATCATTAAATGCACAAAACATCACTTTTATTTTTTATTTTTTTGATCAATAGCTCACAGATTTTATTAAAATTAGAGAGAAAAGGCACAGGTACAAGAAGAGGGAGATAAACACTCTTATCTCACCTAATTAGAACAACAAAACAAGAGAACAATTACAAGATAGCCCAGAACAAAGAGTCTCTATATACCCCTTGTTTAGCTAACCCATCAGCAAAGGAGTTAGCACTTCTTTTAACCCAACTCAACTTCACCTCAATGTTCTTGGTTAACCAATTAAATTTCCTCTTCTCATTGCTGTAATTCCAAATCTGTATCATTTCTCAGCCAATCCACTACCAGTTTAGAATCGCCTTCTATGACCAGATTGGTGATATTCAGTTCAATTGCCCTTTGTGTTCCTTCAATAACAGCTGAAATCTCAGCTTTAAGAGAATCACCCAATCCGATTGGCCCCGAAAAGAGAGCAATTATCACTCCTCATTTCTAAAGACACCCCCAATACCTGATGGACCCGGATTACCCATGCTACTTCCATCAAAATTAAGTTTAACAAAACCACTAGGAGTCCAAGAGGGTAAGGATGTGTCTTTGACCGGAGCTGAACTTGCAATTTCCTTCCAATTTCTGAGCAAATCATCCTCTGAAAAGTCTTTAAGAAGAGCCAAAGACTTCAGCCAATGTACCGCTCTGATATGAATCAGCTCCAGAATTTCTGGCAGTCTTCTTTCCCTATCTGAGAAAATTCTCCTGTTTCTTTCTTCCCAAGTAGTCCAGCAAAGGAAATGAATATAAGAAGACTCTGCATTGAAGGGGATTCAGAGGTGGTGGTAGGATGGCTGAATAAAGAAAATAGTAGTTTATGGATGTACAGTAACGAGAGGAGAAAGTTTAGGTGGCTGGTTCAGGAGATGGCAGTTAAGGTTAGCTGGGTGAATAGGTCAGCTAACTCCTTTGTGGATGAATTAGCTAAGCAAGGAGTTGTGAGGGAATCAATGTTTTGGGCACAATTGTAATTTTTTCCTTTTTGTTCTTGGGAGTGTTTGCTCCCTTTGGAAGATAAGAAAGTTTATCTTCCTCTCTGTAATTCTTCTGTGATTAAGTAATGAAATGTTGTTATTGATCAAAAAAAAAAGTAGTCCAGCAAACAACAGCCTTGAGACATCTCCACATAACTCTTTCTCTTTTTTCGACCAGCTAAACAAGGATGGAGCAAAAAGTCTTTGTAAATCTGGTGGAGGAGACCAGCTGCGTCCAAACAAAGATGAACACCACTCCCAAATGTGATTCATAACAGAGCAGGAAATCAGTAACTCTTTCTCTGAAGGAGACCACAAGTGTTGACTCTTTCCAAGATTGCTTCCCAACAGAAACTCTCAACCTTCAGAGGAATCGGTTTGCACCAGACTTTACCGGAAAAGGATGCCCTAACTGATCCAATGGATGAACTAAGGCTTTGAAATAA